ACATGGCACGGAAGCTTCAATGATTAGTCATTGCAATTTAGAGATAATTAATCATCAAATAACTATAATCAATTGAGGAAAACCTATTTCTAATAGACTTAGACATTATCTTGATTTGTCATCATAGGCCTTGTTTTGTGGGAAAGTTTTTTAGCGAAGATGACTTGGAGACAGCATACCACTAGCAGTTACGGTGATGTTACTGCGCTAGTTATTAGGATGTAACCGGGTCCTTTTTTATTGTGAGGGGAAAATCATCAAATGACTTCTCCCGCCGAGGGAAGGGCGGCAGGGAGTGTCAGACTCTTACTGACTAACCCCCCCCCCCATTCCTTCTCCTACTTTGGGCCGCGGTCGCGGTGCCTCATTGCGCTTACTCCGCAACCCCAAATGAACATCAGTCCTATTGGGCCTCGTCCTGTGGAGGTCTACTGGCTCTTTGAAACGCGCGCGCGGAACGCTACGCGCCGTAAGCTCGGGTCTGGTTCTGGTCGGGCGGCTTGCTACCCTTACTCGCCGTCCGCAGACCCGCGCTTACATCTCTCGATCTGTGACGCCCGGAATGTCGCCTTCTGCAGCGGCTGGGGCGCGAGGAGGATAGTTCCCTCACGCGCTCCGCCTCCTCCTTTGCGAGCATAACTGCTTCGCAGGAGGAGACAGCTTCCCAGTTCCTGTCTCTATGAACCATGGCCTCGATTAAGGGCGGGCGCGAGAGGTCGCCGCCGCCGCGGATATAACTGAGTATTACTTTACCATATCGGCCTCCAGACTCCCATTTTACATTATGTCTTCGATCTCCAAACAAAGGTTGCTTAATGGCCAGTAGCTATTCTTTTATTGGCAGGAAAATGCAATCTTCCTTGATCGATTCGCGTAATGGTTACGCATTCTCTATCAGAACACCAGGTAAGGTATGGCTTAAGGAAAACATTTATTGAATTATTAAAGTCATATAAATTATTGCTGTTGTAACAAACCGATATATTAATATGGATTTTCATACGTCCAGTAACATTTTACGTTCCTCGAAATGGGAAGTAGAAGAGCATATTTTATTTTCCAATTCACTATATATACCTATTTAAGTGTGGGAGAGCCCTGCTAGGCACGAATGGGTCGGCTCGACCGGAGTAATACCACGGCCTCACAGAAACAACTACAGCCGTGTGAGTGAGGTTACTGGAGTCCCAATCCTTCCCCTCCTCCGATCCCCAAAAGGTCGGCAACGCACTCGTAACTCCTTCGTTCCGGGTGTCCATGGGCGGTGCTGATTGCTTATCATCAGGTAATCCGTCTGCTCGTTTGCCGATATTATGACTTAAAAAAACCTACACACTGCCTTAATAGGTGACTTTGAGACAGATATCTTCTCCAATTCCTTGGAAAGATTAAGAAATTACTAAACCAGTAAACTATGCCCAAACATAATTGGGTAGTTTCCTAGGTCAAAAATAAAATAATTCGACGTTTCAATACAATAAAAATAACTATACTTTAATTCATCGATCCATCAAAATTTTAGATATTTCTTAGCAAATTTTTGAGAAATAAGTAAGCTATTTGACACAAAAATTCTATGACGTCATAACTCAGTGTTTCATAGAAAATTGTCGTTTTTGACATTTGGATAAAAGTATTGAATGTGACTAGTTGGAAACTACCGTATTCTTTAATACCATTCTCTGATACCCTAGCAGTGATGACATGATTGTATTGTCGTCACATAATTCGATTTAAAGTCAGTAATTTCATACGTAGACCTAACTACTTCCTATACAATTGCTCTATAACTTTATCAGCAAAGATTAGTGATTAATAGATAGGTGAACGTGTGTACGTCTGTAGATAGTACTTAAGTATGATTTTACAAAGAAATTTTACTGTTCAAGTGTTGTCGGGGAAAAATATACTTCTTCATTTTAGAAGACCGTGGTGTAGAGTATAGTTTTAGTTTTCTACACGTGCAACACCAAAGGAGTTACGAGTGTATTACCGGCCTTTTAGGATAACGGTTTTGGATATTCAAGGATTGGGAAGGAATGGAGGCCGGTAAACTCACTCACACGGCGAAACACAACGCTGTGGTTGTTTCACGCCGGTTTTCTGTGAGGCCGTGTTATCAATCCGGTCGAGCCGACCCATTCATGACGAAGCTTGGCTCTCCCACACTTGCCGGCTTGGTGCCGTCTCGTTATCAGCCTATAAGTGCCCATTGCTGAGAAAAGGCCGCTTCTCATACGGAGAAGGTTAGAGCATTAATCACCACGCTTGTTCAATGTGGGTTGGCGATTTTAAACTTATAATTAGAAATTATATGTCCAGGTTTCCTCACGATGTTTACCTTCACCGTATATCAGTGGTGTCTGAATAATCATAGAAAGTACATATAACTCGGAAAAAGTCACATTGGTACTTGCCAGGTTTCGACCTACACCATCATGTATTAGGTAGAAACGGGCTCCTTAACCTTCGGGCCACCGCGACAGTTTGGTGCCGTCTGATCGCCACTTATTAGAGGACCTGCTGTTGATGATGTAACTCTTGTCAACGGACCAGCACAAGACAAGAAAATCAAGTTACAAAATAACAAGAAAATAAAAAAATAGACGTTACACATATGTACATATATTTTCATTTGAATGACTCACGATCTCGTTGTACAACATTTAAAAATACGTGAATAGTATGTTAATGATATTATTTCGCTGTGTGATATCATATGTAGTTAACATTCGCATGTATTCCAGTTCTTGTGGATGATTACGACAGAACTACAAATGGAGTCCAAAAGCCTTCGTTCTTAGGAAACCGAAACTTGTGGGAGAGCCACGCTTTGGCACAAATGTGTCAGCTCAAGGGAAGTGATACCATGGCCTCGCAGAAAACCAGCGTGAAACAATCACAGCATTGTGTTTCGCCGTCTGAAGTCTGTCTGTATGAACTTGAAAAACGGTACTTTTTCCAATTATTATGTTACTTAGTATTAACAATTATTAGCATTTACCCAATTTCTGTATTACATAGGTGACACAAAACAGAGAAATGAATGAGAATGAATGAATATGTTAAAACTAGGGTAAGTAATTAAAATATACATAAACTATACTAATAATAAAACGTTACAATTTGTAAGTTTGTATGTAGGGGGAAATCTTTGGAACCGCTGGTTGGATTGCCAAAACTCGTTCACTGATAGATAGCTACAATGTTCCTGAATGCCATAAAACATCACGCTACGATCAAATGGAGCCGACCAGCGGGTGAAACCGCGAGAGAGTAGCTAGTTATACATAAGTATATGAATAATATACAGTGTTATTATATTAATAAAATTAACAAGTTTACACCCAATTTACGATAGTAAGATAATAATAAAATTATAATGTTTTTGTTAAAAAATTAACACATTCAAATAACAAGGTATCTGTTATTTTTATTCTACACACCACCAAACAAACATATTACCTGATGGTAAGCAATCAGAACTACCAACGGATGGAAAAATTGCAAGCGCATTCTGGGGATAAGGAAATGAAGGGATTGGTTTTGAGGAGTAGAAGAGATTAGAGGAGAACATTTGGGCTTCTTATTGGATATTAATTAAAAACTAGCTACTCTTGCATGGTTTCACCCGCTGCTCTGCTCCTACAGATTGTAGCGTGATGTTTTATAGCCTATAGCCTTTCTCGATAAATAGACTAAAAAATAAAAAAAAGAATGATTCAATTTGAACCAGTCGTTCTGGAGATTAGCGCATTCAAACAAACAAACTCTTCAGCTTTATAATATTAGTATAGATTTAATTTTGTGCAAACTAAAGCCATTAATGTTACTCATTGAAATGACATTAAAACAAGTCAACTGATATTATTTATTTATAATTATTATCTAATCTGTGACATTCACATTTTTTAAATGTTCTCTGGGTAATTACCCTATGAAATTTTTTATCATTATTAATAGTACTGCTACAGATTAAAAATCAATCATTGGATTATTGTGTAATGATGTAAGAAGGCTACTAAAACAATATATGCATAGTTCGGTAATTTTTTGTAGTATTTAATATTAAAAAAGTGAGTAAATATAAGTTTAGTTTTAACCTTGATATGCCCATGCAAAAGGCAAATTCAAACATCCAAACAAAGCCTTAGGTTGAAGTTATTTTAATATGAGATTAGAATCATTATAATATTGTAAAGGAAAACTGAATTGATGTAACTACTATTAAAAACAAAACATCAAATATTCTATTCAGAAATGAATACAAATTTGAAAAGAGAACCACCTAGTAACTTAATTTTAGTTCATAGCATAAAAAAACAATGTACAATAACATTCTAAATTCAAAAGTTTGTAACAGGAAAAAGGAAACATTAAATTTTACTGTCAACCTAATTTATTACACAACAAAGTAAAGGAAATAAACTTTCACAGCCTCTTAAATTATATTTTAAAATAAAACCCAAAAATATAATAGTTTTACGATTTGGAAATACTTAATTTCTTATTGGAAATCCCCTAGACCAATAGTTTCATTCACAACATTATTACCATTTCCGTTTTGATACCAATCAAAATAAATAATTGTGCAATATGAATACAACCTCTTTTTAACAAGATGTAATGACAGGCTGAACCATTATACCTTTGTGTCAACATTTGAATTTACATAGACGCGTTCTGTTTACCGCGCTCCATTATTTAAATTAAGTTTATTCATCATTTTACTTCGAAAAGTTAACGACAACGATTGTAAATAATTCCAGGAAAGTTTAAATCAACGACGAGACGATTTAAAAACATTATTAGGTACAATGACGCAAAACATCGTGAAGTTTTTAAAAACCAGAGCTAATTATAATTCTTTTGTCATTCTCTCGTGATGAGATAAAGGTAGAAGCGGGTACAGTCTAATTTTAAAACGTGACGTCATATGTAAACAACTTTGTGAATCCGTTTTTTAAAGTAAAACAATGATTTTAAGAATTGTAACGTACCTTTCCGTTGATTCCAAGGCCGAGTACTGTGTTTGAGATCTCGTAGTCATCGGTGATTGGCGAAGTTTTGATAAACTTGGTAAAATTACTCATCTTGAAACACTTCACTGTTTTAAAACACCAAACAAAAAGTTATTTCGAACACTTTTTCAACACAATCACACTTCACTGGCTAGTAAAATATTTTATTAAGACGAATTTCTTTTTTATTTGTTATACACGAACACGTAATTCGAATTTAAGTTGTAATATTTAATTATTTCCGTGTGTGGCAATGACCGACCGTGTCACAGCATTGAGCAATCGCGGCACAGTGCTGCCAAGATTCGCGTTGGTTCCGTCTTACGAAGACTAGCTGTCAAAATTGAAAATGACAACTAAATGTCAAGATGAATGTTGAGTTTTCGTCGAAAATCTAATAAAATATTTTCACGTAAGTTATGTAAAACATAAAGTGTATGATTTTGATGTAAATTAATTTTATAAATATTTATCTTTTTAATTATAGCTATACATCTGAGTTCTTATTGAGTATTTCAAACTTATCATCACATTATGATTAGTGCCACCTGTTATTTAAAAACAAAACTACACATCCTAAAGCTACCACTAACCTAGTATAGATGGCGCTGTTTGACATTATAAGCAAACTAGGATATTGCAATATTAATAATTTCAATATTTTAAACATTCACAATGTAATTATTCCGTTCTTAACAAAACGATTACGAATTGCACATTCAATTTTTTATTCTTGTGCATCTATTATGTAAATGTAAAGTGTTAATTCCTGTTTCTTCTTACGCAATTATAGGTATTACCTAATTAGAATTCACTGACTGGTTATTATTGTACTAATGATATTACGTTGTTTGGTAAATTTCCTTTGATTATTAATGGATTGAAACTTAGAAATCAGGACTTGAATTCACTTGTAGGTTTATAAATGTAACATTTGCTAGCGACTTCATACTACTATTCTACTGGTATCAAAAATGCACATTTTCCGGTCTTCATTGATTGGTATTATGGTATTTTTTTATTACAAGCCATCCGTAAAAAATAAAAGATAACAGTTATTAACCTAATTGCTATCTCTTAGGCTCTTAGGGGCCTGCCAAGCTCGGGACCATTTCCTGAGCGATCGAGTTAATGTGATTTTGTAAAAAAAATATATCAAGTAAGTTTTTACCCCACCAACCGAAAGATATTGTTATTATTATTTTGAGCAAGTACTCCCGATAACGCAATAAATTGTCGTTAAAGAATTTCTTGATGGTTTAAGAGTCCGGACGAATCGGAGTCCTTAGGCAGTCGGCTATTCTGCCTATACAATGGTGACCCTAGGCCTGGAGGATCAAGGTCAGCCGGGAATCATCATCCAACCTGTTATAGCTGCTGATGATTGTTATAACAAGGCAAAACTCTTCAAAATCAAAGTCAAAATCATTTATTCCAACTAAACCATAAACAACTTTTGAAACGTCAAAATAGAACAATGTTCTGCCAGTCTATTCGTCAGTGAAACTAGGTGTTTCATACAATGTAAATAAAACTAGGTAGATACTTTTATTACCTACCTACAAAATAATTGTTATGTACCTAATCGTAACAAACTCGTTATAAGTAGAGTAATTGAATAATGCCTAAACTACACACGTATCAATTACGTTTAAAAAAAAACCGTTTTAAAAACAGCGAAAAATATCATTAAAATAGTTTTTTTTTCAACAGAGTGAATATCAGTGTCAAGGCTGTATTACTGCTCGTCACCTAAGCGCACGTACCGTGAAGATTTTAACAAAAAAACCTAATTTAGTACAAAAATATGATTAAGTACCTTATTACCCTGAATTGGGTAGTTTCCTAGGTCAAAAATAAATTAATTCGACGTTTCAATACAATAAAATATTGAAAAATAACTATACTTTTATTCATCGATCGATGGATACACTAAGTTTTTGTTTTTTTTTTAGCTAATTACTTATTAAGAAATAAGTAAGCTATTTGACGCAAAAATGTTATGACGTTTTTTACCCGACTGCCAAAGAAGGAGGGTAATGTTTTTCGAGTGTATGTAAGTATGTATGTATGTCTGTTCCTTTGTGACCTCCTGTAGCCTAAACGGCTTGATGGATTTTGATGTATGAGGTATCGTTAGATTTGTCTTGATTACGGGAGTGTCATAGGATACATTTTATCCTAAAAGTCCCACGGCATAAAGACATAATAATATTTTTTCTAAATTTCCCTTTAAAAAAATATGTATGCGGTATCATTAGATTCATTTCAATCACGGGAGTAATTAATATAGGATACGTTTTTTCTCAAAATTCCCACGGGAACATGTTAATTCTGCGTCAACGCAAAGCAACTCATGCGTTAGCAAGCAAAAAGATAGGGCGTGGCCTGGCTTGCGGCGCGCGGCGCGGTGCGGAGGGGGATATGCTCGAGTATACAGCCCGAATGCGGGCACACGCATAAGGGCACACGTCGTTGACGGTCGTCTCTAAATAGCGATTTTTTCGATACTTCATCTACAACATTTTCGTTAAATAAAAACAGCTAAAAAGTTATAAATAAAAAAAATATTATTAAAAAAACAAAATACCCGACTGCACACTAAAAAAAGAGTAAAACAAGCCCAACAATACAAATTTACTGAATATAATTTATAAATGTTGATGGAAAGCATCGCAGGCGGGGACCACCTTGACCGCCACCAACGAAAATTCTGCTAAATGGTGCACAACAGAAATGACTATAAATAAGCCTCTGTTGGTCCCCGCCTGCGATGCTTTCCATCAACATTTATAAATTATATTCAGTAAATTTGTATTGTTGGGCTTGTTTTACTCTTTTTTTAGTGTGCAGTCGGGTATTTTGTTTTTTTAATAATTCATAGAAAAGTATCATTTTTGACGTTTGGATAAAAGTATTGAATTTGACTACTTGGAAACTACCGTATTGTGTGTATCAGGAAACCTACTTAAGTTTTAGTGGGCAAATGTATATGAGTGAGGTTACCGGAGGCCCAATCTTATCGATGCTTCGGCGATACCCGCCCCTCCGACACATGGGTAAACGGAGGAACACCGAATTGGTTTTTAGTCAGCCAGAGTCTGGTGAGTCTGCACGAGAATTTTTCAAATCAATCAACAAAAAAAAAATATCCCCATAAGGTCGGCAACTCACTCGTACCTCTTTGTTGCGGGTGTCCATGGGCGGCGCTGATTGCTTACCATCAGGTAAGTAAACCGTGTGCTTGTTTGCCATCCTATCACATTAAAAAAAGTTTTGTTTTAACCATCAATCGTGGTAATTCGAGACAAAATAAATGAACAATACATGCACGAACGCCGGCTTTCGCTTGAGGTTTTATGAATTACACAATGAAAGAGGTCGTTCATTATATAATTCTAATTATAAATCGTTTTAATTGACATAGAAACTCAAGTTTGGTGATGCGAGAGAGTGTCAGACTCTTGCTGACTACCACTGCTGCGGAAACCACCCCTCTACTTTTCCTGCTCCAGACATTAAGGTTAAGGATTTGGGATTAGATTGGTCCTCCGGTAACTTCACTCCTACTGACATAAAGCATACCAGTTCCCTGCGACACCGTGGTGTGTATGTGGGATCGTCCGTTTGCAAACGCACCTATAGGACAGACACAGGAGAAAATCTTTGGGCAAGTATGGCAACGTTTACAAAAGTAAATAAAAAAAAATGTGGGAGTCAATTTAGAAAGTGCTTTGGCACGAATGGGTCGGCTCGACCGGAGTGATACCACGGCCTCACAGAAAACCGCCGTGAAAACAACTACCTACAGCATTGTGTTTCGCCGAGTGAGTGAGGTTACCGGATGCCCAATCCTTACTCTCCCCTAATCCCTAAATCTCCAAATCCCTAATCCCCAAAAGGTCGGCAACGCACTCGTAGCTCCTCTGTTACGGAGGTCCATGGGCGGCGCTGATTGCTTACCATCAGGTAATCCGTCTGCTCGTTTGTCGGTCTATTACATAAAAAAAATTACTCCATGACTCAGTAACCTAAAAAATACAGTTTTGCTAACCCCTTCCTTCAGTATAAAAACATCCGTGTTCTTACATAAGGATTCCTGAAGAAACAAATAGGTATGTCATGTTCTACGTAATTCACGAACATTTTCGGTATAAATTTATAGTGCAGCGCCAAATATTGAGGGATTTTATTGCCATTGCGATATGGCAGACAGACTGACTTTGCGTGTAGGGCCAGGAAACTAGAGTTTATCAAATTAGGTGGTTAACTAAAGATTAACAATCTTGGCATGTCTTTTTATATTAAAGAGGTCCCCTAAAAGATCGGTCACACCCTGGTAATTGCTCCAAGTTGCGGGTTTTCATAGGTGTCACAGATTTTTATTTTGTAGTAAAGGTCGGCAAATGAGCGTAGGTACGTATGTTACCTGATGATAAGCAATCAGCGCCGCCCATGAAAGCCCGCAACACCAAAGGAGTTTCGAGTGCGTGGCTGGCCTTTTAGGGATAAGGGTTTCGGATATTTAAGGATTGGGAAGAGATGAGGGGCGGCCGAGGGATTGGACCTCCGGTAACTACACTTAATCGGCGAAACACACGCTTTTGTGTGAGGCGGTTTTGTGTGAGGCCGCGGTATCACTAAGGTCGAGCCGACCCATTCGTGCCGAAGTTTGGCTCCGAAGAGTGGGCACTCTTGCTTACCATCAGGTGTTTCACACGCTTGATTGCATAAACAACGGAGTCCCCATACGTCGTGTGCTTAGTGATGTCTCGACGGTTAAATGTATCTATCTGTCCGACGTTGTAGCCGGGAGGCTAAGTCACCTGCTACTCAAGCATGAGGGTGTGGGTAGGAAACCTGGCAAGCACCAATGTGACTTTTTCGAGTTATATGTACTTTCTATGATTATTTAGATACCACTGACATACGATGAAGGTAAACATCGTCAGGAAAACTTGGACTTATAATTTCTAATTATAAGTTTGAAATCGCCAATCTGCCTTGAATAAGCGTGGTGATTAATGCTCAAACATTCTCTGTGTGAGAAGAGGCTTTTGCTCAGCAGTGGGCAGCTATAGGCTGATGATGATGATGAAATGTGTTTTAGATTTTTATTAGAGATTATTGTTGAGAGAGAAAATCATCAAACCACTTCTTTCTCCCTTTTGGGGCGAGAGAGAGTGTCAGACTCTTACTGACAAAAAACCACCCCGTTCCTTCTCCTGCTCCAAGGCGTTTTAAGTGTGGGAGAGCCATGCTTCAGCACGAATGGGTCGGCTCGACCGGAGTGATACCACGGCCTCACAGAAAACCGGCGTCAAACAACCACAGCGTTGTGTTTCGCTGTGTTAGTGAGGTTACCGGAGGCCCAATACTTCTCCTCCCCCAATCCCTCCTCAATCCCTAAATCTCCAAATCCCTAATCCCTAAAACGTCGGACGGTTACCATCAGGTAATCCGTCTGCTCGTTTGCCGATCTATTACAGAAAACAAGACGATCCTGTGGTACATTATTTCGCTTACCCCGCAACTCAATCTGAATATGAATAACCGCTGTGTTAATGGCCGTACTCGAGTGACTCACGAAGCCCGTTCACGAGAGAAAGCGATGACGTCACGAGCCAAACGTGGGCCGATACTGAATGTCGTGCACAATCGTTTCACTGGGTATTGAATGACTAAATATCATACCTATTATTTCCTGAAGAGGTGGACAGAAGTGTACATTTATAATCTATACTAATATCATAAAGAGGTAAAATTTGCAAGTTTGTATGTAGGGGGTAATATTTGGAACTGCTGGTCGGATTTCCAAAATTCTTTCACTGATAGATAGCTACAATGTTCCTGAGTGCTATAAGCTATAAATCATCACGCTACAATCAAATGGAGCAGAGCAGCGATTGAAACCGCGCGAGAGTACCTACATAGTAATTTATACAGTACATTACTGGGCGATATCTTTAAGCTGTGCCCTACTGGGTCCATATTGAGTCTAATCCTTAAAATGTACCTAGCGTCTTCGATTCATCATATGGAATGCTTATAAAGAATTTGAATTTGAATTTTCACGTATAATTTTTTCTCTTTATCTTTCTATATTCGTCACTTGTGTTTTTTATAATATAGGTTGGCAAACTAGCATACGGATTACCTGATGGTAAGCAAATACCGCGCGTTCCTAGACACTGGCTGCAACAGAGGAGTGACGAGTGTGTTGCCGATTTTTTTGGGATTAGGGATTTGGAGATTTAGGGAATGCGGAGAGATAGGGGGAGGGAAGGATTGGACCTCAAATAACTTCATTCTCGCGGCAAAATACAACGCTGTGGTTGTATCACGCCGGTTTTCTGTGAGGCCGTGATATCACTCCGGTCGAGCCGACCCATTCAAAGCATGGCTCTCCCACACTTTATTAATTAGTCACCATTTATGTCAGATTGGAGTCGTCATGTTCACTCAAAGCTCTCATTGGCGTTGCCACGGGAACTGGATCGCTCAATTGCCTATGAAATATGGTTGAGTTGGGCGATGCTGGTGTAACGTGTCATGTTCGTGAACGGGCTTCGTTAATTGGGACTGGTCAGCTCCGGACTATATTGTCCTTAAGGTTATTTCTTTTTAAGTTTCAGGCGTGAAAAATGATATAATAGCATTTTCGATACCAATCTTCGAAACTTTAATTAATACCTAAAAAGCCGGCAACGCATTCGCAACTCCTCTGTGCAAATTGGCGTCTCTGAATGCTTACCATCAGGTAATCCGTCTGCTCGTATGCCTATTACATAAAAAAAGAGATAGTATTAAACAATGAACCCTAAAAATCTAGATCAAACAGTTGCTTAATAGAACATACAACAATAGAATTTAAAAACAGGATCGCATTGATTGCGATACGAAAAAAAAAATTCGCATGAGTTTAAGAATCAGAACTGTTGTAATAATATGAGAACTGTATTATTTGGAATTATTACTTAAATCTTGCTTAGTTTTTATTAGTTTAACGATTGTTTGAGCCTTTTTTTTAAAGAAAGCCTGGTACGTCGGCGTGAGGAGTTCTTTATGTGTCCCTCACAAAGAACTCCTCACGTCGACGTATCAGGCTTTCTTTCAATGGAGTGTCAGTGGTTAATCATTGGAAAGTCATAATGAAGCCATTTTAATATTAGATTACTAAATTTATCAAAATCAACAATTATGAAACCAATGACCGACTATTTTGACACTATTGTATTAGCAGACTAGGGCCCAGGCGTCGGGGAAAGAAATATGATCTCCGGCTACCGTAAGCGCGGGTCTGCGGACAGCGAGTAGGGGCAACTCGCCGCCCAACCAGAACCAGACCCGAGCGTACGGCGCGTAGCGTTCCACGCGCGCCTCAAAGAGCCAATAGACCACCACAGACGGGGCCCTATAGGGCTGATGTTTAGCCGGGGTTGCGGATTAAGCGCAATGAGGCACAGCGATATAGCGCAGAAGAAGGAACGGGGTAGTTTTTCGTAATTAAAATCTGACCTTACCTTTCGCCTCCCCACCAGGTCGGGAGAAGTCATTCGATAATATTCTGCCCCCAAAAAATGATTACAGTTTTTGATAAAATCTATGTATAACACAACTAAACAACACCATTAAACAAAAAAAAACGAATTAACATGTTTTAATTATAGCAATTAACATGGTAACTATAAACGTAATTATAAGGAAGCGATACGCGTACAAAATTAATTATTAATTACAATTAATTATTCAATTTAACTAGATTTTTATCTTAAGCTATTTTCTTTGTTAGATTTGAACAACATAGTTAAAAGGTTATCAGTTGATCTTCAAGACTGTCAGTCATATTAACCTTTTGGCCGCTCAGATAAAAAACCCATGAACCGACCCTCAACGCCAAGCCACAAATTCCGCCGGGCACGCTGTTATTGCAGCGGTAAGATCCCTCTTTGAAGAGTGGCTTAAGAGACGCCATGACGTCCTCACCTTCCGCCTGACGCAGGTGCTTACCGGGTACGGCAGCTTCAGTAGGTTCCTGTTTCGGAGCGTTCCGCGCGCGCCTCAAAGAGCCTATATACCACCACCGATGGGGCCCTGTGGGGCTAATGTTCAGCCGGGGTTGCGGGTTAAGCGCAATGAGTCACCGCGGCCTCGGCCCAGAGCAGGAGAAGGAATAGGGGTCATCACTCACAATCACAAGTGGTAAAATAAAAACGGTAGAATTTTTATTTCAAGTAGGGGTTTACCATGATAGCTTAAAACGAGCCATGATTTACATACGAGCTGAACCGAAATCATAAGAGACGAATCGAAATCACACGAGCCGAACTGAAATCATATGAGATGAACCGAAATCATAAGAGCCCAATCGAAATCATACGAGCTGAACGGAAATCATAAGAGACGAATCGAAATCACACGAGCCGAACTGAAATCATACGAGATGAACCGAAATCCTATCTGATAAAAAAAAGCTTTACGATTCTGCCGCACCACTGTTTACAAGCAACCGATAAAAAATATTGCATAATAAGTTAGTAAGATGCTTAACAACCTGGGAGAATAATGATATTAAATAAAAGTTAGGTTTCTCAGAGAATCACCCTTCTATTTTTTAAGAGTACATTTTTTCAGTGCCATACTGTTTATGACTCACAGAAGGCTAGCCGTCAAATTACATGCTTCGGTTAATTATATAAAGGTGACAAAAATTTTAACAAAAAACTATCGTGTTACCTTTTTTTAACCGACGTTTAAAACTAAATTAGGTTTTAAAAACATACGAAACTGTATTACGTGCAGAATAGGGCAGTTCTATCTTCTATTGTCATTTTTTTATGTAATAAGTCGGTAAACGAGCAGACGGATTACCTGATGGTAAGCAATCAGCGCCGCCCATGGACACCCGCAACGGAGGAGTTACGAGTGCGTTGCCGACCTTTTAGGGATTAGGGATTTGGAGATTTAGGGATTGGGGAAGGGTCCGGGGAGGGGAAGGATTGGTCGAGCCGACCCATTCGTGCCGAAGCATGGCTCTCCCACACTTAATTATTACATTATAAACGGCTCATGGATTCTTGATCGTCGACCTTCCCGTGTCGGGTCTTCAGGTCTTGGTGTGGAGTCAGAGGAACTGAGAAACCGTCTGAAAAATCATTTATTCCAACTAAACCATAAATGGTTACTTTTGAAACGTCAAAATAGAATAGTAGTCTGCCAGTCAGTTCGTCAGTGAAGCTAGGTGCTCGTTCCAAATTGTAGTTTCGAATGAAAAAGAACGAGCAAGAAACTAAATATAGGTAGTTACTCTTTTTTAAAAAAACTTTTTCTTATTTCTTCTGCGGATTAGTCTAACTAGTTAAGGAAGAGGCGGAACGCGTAGATCAATGGTCTTCTTAACGCCCTAGCTGCCGCATGAGACATTGGCGTCGGGGATCAGGCCCGGCCTTAGTCTAGGCCATGGTGCGGCGCGAAGGGAACTGGAAAGCCGTCTTCTCTTTCTGTGAAGCAATGATTCTCGCAAAGAAGGAGGCGGAGCGCGTGAAGCAGCTATCTTTTTCACGCCTCAGCCGTCGCAGTAGGTGACACTCCGGGCGTCGAAGATCGAGTGATGAAATTCGCCGGCTACCCTATTATGGGTATTCGGACGGCGAGTGAGGGTAGCTTTTCGCCCGACCAGAACCAGACCCAGGCGTTCCGCGCGCGCCTCAAGGAGACAATAGACGAGCTTAATAAGGCCCCAGGTGCAGTAGAAGACGTTCTGGACGTCGATGATCTAGAGCTGATCTCCAGCCACCGAAAGCGAATGCAGACAGCTAGCAAGCGTAGCTCGAAACCTGACCAGGAGAAAGTTTCGTTAATTTTTTTTGCACTTCGACTTATTCGGCCCCACTGATACTCGTCGTGAACTATAATATATGTAATGAATTAAATAAAGAAAAAACACGTAAGTAAGTTAGTAAATTATGAAGAAAAAAAATGTTTATCACAAGGCAAATAAATAAACTATGACTGCACCTTTGACGCGGTGGCTGGGCAACTGGCTGCCGCGTAACGTGTCACCGCACGAAACAACGAAAGTACTCTTTGTGTGATCCACACATCCACAATTAATTGTGGTTTCGGGGTTGGGTGTGTTGTGTGTGTGATATTGTATGCTTGTACCCACGACACAGGAGAAAACCCTAATGTATATTAAAAAACGTTTAACAAACTTTTAATCGAACATTATACTTTTTTCTCCACAATTTACTTAACTGCATCTAATTTAAAAGTGAATGGTTCTTGTAAGTAATCCTCACTTTAAGCGGATGGCTACCGTGAAAGATTGTTCATTGAGTAACCAGGTAATTGCTTTGGAAGGCAAGCATTGATGTACTATGAAGGATTCTTCAATTTATTTGAAGGTTGGTATATATCTGAGGACCTACTTACTTAAGTTATACTGTTACGCACTTTTGTCGATGCCGATCGCTTCCCTGAGGACACGGCGGTGCTCAGCCCAAGCACGGCACACCGCCACCTTATGTTCCATCGTGTGTTATGGATGGTCCTCATAATGGCGAAACCCAGGCGATTCCTCCCACAGTATTCGAAACAGATACTGTTATGTACCTACTTGATATGGTGAAAATAAAATTGTTTGGAATTTTTTATACATAATTATATTTGTTTATACTTGTGGTCGTGGTATTATTTTTTGTGATAGGTCGGCAAACGAGCAGACGTATTATCTGATGTTAAGCAATGGTGCAGACCCGCAACATCAGAGCAGAGTAGTTACAAGTGCATTGCCAGTCTTTTGACGGTTTCGGAGATTTAGAGATTGGATAGGGAGGGGGGGGGGGTTGGGCCTTCGGTAACCTCCCTCACATGGCGAAAACAGCGATGTGTGTTTTTTCACGCCAGTTTTCTGTGAGTCCGTGATAAGTTGATAACTCTACGGTCGAGCCAACCCATTCGTGCCGAAGCATGGCTCTCCCACATTTATCTACTAGTATAAGAAATAGATTTAAAATAATCCAATCGTACTTCTGTCCCACCTTGGGAAGTAAACCGTCTCGCTCTATCATTAGATTAAAAAGTCAATTATTTTATATAAAAAACTAACTTTTGCCCGCGATTTCGTTCGCTTGTAATAGTGACATGCTGCAGATTTTTGCTATAAAAATCATATATCCTTTCTCGAGTTTCAAACTATGTCTGTACCAAATATCACAGGAATCGGTTCAGTAGTTTAGCCGTGATGAAAAGACAGACAGACAGAGTTACTTTTGCATTTATAATATTAGTTTGGATAATATACATATAAAACGTCTGAATTACACATTCGTGTATTTTATAACCAAAACAAAGGCGACTTTTATAATTATGTGTTTTGGAACTTTATACCGTATGTGACCATTGTGTTATTTGACCCTAGAACTAAGGTCACTGCATATACTATAGACAGCACAACATACTATACTAAATTCTTAAATAAAACAGAAAACAATCAACTCTAAACTTATAGCGATACGGTCTAAAATACACTGTAGGTATGACCGCATGATAAGCTACCCGTTTAGAGACACGTTTTGCATTGTATTTTTAACCATGGCCTTTTGTAATAAGGTCGATAATTGAATGGAGGTGTTTGAAGCAGGTATATGTCCGAATTTTATGTAAAATGAGGTCGGTAATCAGATCTTCTATTGTTTTATGTTTTTTTTGCCAAAATTAAAGTACTTTGCTACTATAAGTGTTGTATTATTATTGCAAAAAGTTGTTTTATAAAATAAGTTAAGTAGGTAAAGCGAGGTTTTAGGTTTATTTTCGGGGTCGGGCAAAGTTAAGCAAAATCTTCGTGTTGAACATACATCATCAGCCTATAAGTGCCCACTGCTGATCAAAGGACTCATCTCCTTTTCAAGAGAAGGTTTGAGGATTAATCACCACCCGCTCAGGGTGTGACGAGAGAGAATGTCAGACTCTTACTGACTAAAAACACCCCCGTTCCTTCTCCTACTCTAGGCCGAGGTCGCGGTGCCTCATTGCGCTTACCCCTCCACCCCGGCTGAACATCAGCTCTATAGGGCCCCGTCTGTAGTGGTTTATTGGCTAAAAACGTACGGGCGGCGAGCTACCCTAACTCGCCGTCCACAGACTCCAACTGAACTGTCAAAAATCATTTATTCCAATTAGACCCCTACAGGCACTTTTGAATATCAAACAAAATTTTAAAGATATAAAATGTCAGTTTGTCGGTCAGTCCTCTTAGTGAAGCTATTTGCTCGTTCCAAAGTGTAGATTCCGATGGAGAAGAACGAACAAGAAAGTCCATGGTTACTCTTTTTAAATCAGTTTCACATACAGATTTCTTATACAAACAGTTAGTTCAATTATGTGAGAACAGATTTAATCAGAGAAAATCTAGATCTGAGTAATCTGGGAACATTAATTTCAAAATCTATCTAGAACCTGAATCTATGACTTACCTCAAAGCTTCCGTACAATTCGTCACGGATCATGAATGCCAGAAAAGTAAAAATTGTGCTAAAAATATTATGATTGTATTACATCATAATTGTAAGATTTGAACTCAATTAAAACGTTTAAGTGCTCGAAATGGTGCAATTTTGACATGCAATTCACTCATATATGTTTAATATTGTACTGACTTTATATTGACAACTAGCTTTTGCTCACGACTCCGTTCGCGTGGAGACTTTTGGTATAAAAAACTATCCTATGCCCTTTCTCGAGTTCCAAACTATGTCCTAGGTTAAAAATAACCTAGGTTATGTCATGACCGAATCACGTTAATCTTTTCAAATCAAAAACTGTTTCATTGTAATTGTAACATAATCTACATAGACTTCCTCGAAAGAGTAACAAAAAAAAAACAATAGATTTTAATCTTATTAAATCCGGAACACGGAAAGCTGTTGAATAACCGACACGCAATGTTGAACAAAAACTGTGTTAGATATAAAATGACATCAGTTTTAGTTTTTTTTTAGTTTAGTCCAGAGATAAATATGAAAAAAATCGTTGCTCTTTTTTTTAGGGGTAAGGGGAAAATCATAAAATGACTACTCCCGCCCAGGGCCGGGCGTGAGTGTTAGACTCTTACTGACTAAAAACCCCCCTCTTCCTTCTCCTGCTCTGGGCCGAGGTCGCGGTGCCTCATTGCGCTTACCCTGGGATGGAAGTCATTAAATGACTTTTTTCGTTCTGGGTGAAGCGAGAGGGAGTGTCAGGCTCTTTCTGACTAAAATGACCCCGTTCTTTCTTATTGTCTAGGCCAGGTCACGGTACATTTTTGCGCTTGATCTGCAACCCTAATTGGGCCTTTTGTATTTTTTTAGAGATTTAGACGCTTTGCCTCTACCTCCTTGTTTGCAGGCGAAATGGTAGTGGCCGCATTTTGGTTACCGGACAGCGCTGCTGATCGCGGTCTTTGTAATTATGTAACTGCTAAATCGGTATGAGGCACCCACGGGAAGAGCTAGTAGATTTTTACGTTGAAATTCTACTACAACACATTTCAAATACGACCTTTTTCCAACAATGACAGTACTGTAATTGTTAATTTTATTTCACAATGGAAGAGTACTGTATTTAGTATCAATTGTCAAATCTTTTTCAGGTTCAGTGACAGGTCTTTAGGTTCAAATTTAACCGGATTTTGTGTGTGACTGTTTTGTTAAAGTTTAATGACATATGGTTGACAACCTTATTTAAACGTTGCCCCTCACTATGATTTTCTCCTGTGTCGTGGGTGCGTTTATAAACATACAAATTCACATACACATCACACCCAGACCCGGATCAACAATTTGTGGATCACACAAAGTGTTGTTCCGTGCGGGAATCGAACCCGCGACACGTTGCACGGCAGCCTGTTGCCCAGCCACCACACCAACCGTGCAGTCATCACTTCACAACCCTATGATATTTTTTTTCAAAAAGAGACCTGAAATGTTTTCAAGAAAATGTCGCGTAGTGATATTTAAATTTTGTAGTAGTAGTGTTTTGATTGTTTTTTTAACGTAAGAGTCATTATTTGTAGATTATTTAGCAACATTTTTTTCTGCTCACAAATACAAGATCCACCCAAGCTGTGACGCTGAACCAAGCCAACACAAAAGAAGGGGTTAATGAGGTACCTTTAACTTAACTTATTAAATTAATAATGTTTTTTGTTATTGTTTGTTACAAACACAAATGTTACAATCTTGTGTTTATGGTCCACAGACTCCACAGATAATAAAAATACACACGACCTCGCGCATATAATGTTAAAATACTCTGTGGACTATAGACAAAACTTTTTTGTTTTTGTTTTCTTTTGTCATTATTTTTTTAGATTTTTAGTATTATTTTATTTTCTTCTTTTTTTTGTATTTTTGTTTTATGTGTGTGCGCTTGCGCGAAAATAAACGTTTTTCTTTCTTTCTTTTTTCTTTCTTTAAGTAGGAAATAGAACAGATGGGTTTTCAGTCAGTAAGAGTCTGACACTCTTTCGCTTTACGCGAGATATTTCATTTGATGATGTTCCCTTCACAAATTTTGGGATTGGAGAGAGTTGGCGGTAGGGGAAGAGCTGATACAAAAAATACGTAAAATAATTTTTTTTCTTGCTTTTGTTCCACGTCACAACACAGCTATTCTATCTGTGGAATTTCTTGTACATGGAGACATAAAATAACTCTTGGCAATGTCAGACTCTTAGTCACTAAAAATTCTTTCTTTGTCCTACTGGGCCGGGCCCCGGTGTACGCTTACACAGTTAAGGAGCCGTTTTAAATTTAACGTTTGAAAGTCACCCTACTCTTGGCCTTATTTGGCCTCGACTGTGGTGATCTGACATCGTTAGGAGGCCTCTTATTTCATAGTGATATAGGGTAAATAACATTGTGCCAAAAGCAAATTTACAATATACAAATCCTACTACTATTATAAAGGCGAAAGTTTGTATGTATGGATGTATGGATGTTTGTTACTCTTTCACGTAAAAACTACTGAATGGATTTGAATGAAACTTTACCACAATATAGCTTATACATCAGAATAACATTTTTGAGGTTTCTAATGTAAGGTCGTAAAAAAACTCATTTTTGGGGTTAAGTTTCCAAAGCGTGTGCATGTTTATGCTGATGGAAAAATAAATGCGTTAAATGTAGTTAAAAGGAGCATACTGCAGTTGCTACTAAGCTATGATAGGGCTCTGCAGTGCTTAGTTACCGTATTTCTTACTTATTACTAGACTAGACGGGACTAACCTGAAGTCCACGCGAACGAAGTCGCGGGCAAAAGCTAGTATATACATAAAGGTATAATATTTGTTCTATGTGTTGGAAAGTTACTATCTTACGTCATAGCGGTAGGACCACTCTGGGTGTAACCGACGGTAATATGTGTTCACTGCAAATATACACCTAGGTAATTATTTAAAGCAGTTTGAAGGTAAATAGGTACAGTATAGTAGAGTACAGTGCGGCCGACGTATCTTGGCGAGTCTGAAGTTAGCCGATTGTCTGCGCAATGGATCTTTTAGGAACAAAATTGTGTACTTCGTAGCTATTCTCTTCGGCTAACTTCAGACTCGCCAAGATAAGTCGGCGGTATTGTACCATGCTTCGCCATTTTCGTCACGAATAGGCTGGCTCGGCCAAAGTGATACCATGGCCTCACAGAATCACATACAGCCTATAAGTGCCTACTGCTGAGCAAAGTCCTCTTCTCATACAGAAGTCTGAGCATTAATCACCACAATTGCTTAAAGCAGATTGGCGATTTCTAACTTATAATTAGAAATTATAAGTCTAGGTTTCCTCACGTTTCCTTACGGAATGTCAGTGGTGTCTAAATAATCATAGAAAGTACTTACATATAACTTGGATATAGTCCTTGGCACTTGTCTGGTTTTAAACTCGCACCGTCATGCATAAGAAGCGTACGCCTTAACCTCCGTTCCACGACGACACGGGCCTTACAGAATACCGGCGTGAAATAACATTTACGTTGTGTTTCGCCATGAATGTGAGGCTATCGGAGTCATTACCATAACAACTCCATCCCCTACCTACTCTACAGACGGCAAGCAACCAGACCCAAGCGTACGGCGCGTAGCGTTCCGCGCGCGCCTCAAAGAGCCAATAGACGACTCCAGATGGGGTTCAACTTGGCCAAGGTCATGCACCGTAAGGTAATGCGGCCTTGGCCTAGAGCAGGAGAAGGAACACGTTTTTAGTCAGTAAGAGTCTGACTCTCTCTCTCGCTCCATTCTAAGCGAGAAAAGTAATTGAATATGAAAACCCACTAAAGTTTGACAACGCCCTTATAACTGCTGTGACAACGCTATTGTGAGTTTTAAGAGTTTGAAGGATAGGGGAGAAGGACTGGGCCTCTGGTAACCTCACTTACAGTTAGAAAACAACGCAACTCAACGTTTCACGTCTGTTTTCTGTCAAGCCGTTGTATCACTCCGGTCGAGACGGCTCACTTATGCTAAAGCATGGCTATCCCACACTATAAAAGGTATTTATAAAAAAAAAGAAAGTTCCCGACGAATTGAGACCCTCCTCCCTTTTTTGAAGTCGGTTAAAAAGAGGTGATGTTATGTGGTTACTTTTTAAATTTTTCCATTAACCTCCTAATGTAGTCTTGTGTAAAGATTATCTATATGTATTTTTCGTTATGGTTTTTGTTTTACACGGCGTTTTATATTTAACAAGGTACGTTAGTACAACATAACAATAATTGAATAAATATTTAGTTATGGTGACCATGTTTTCTATCTTTGGAACTTCTTTTTATCTACAAATGTATAAATCACTAAGGGCTAATTTTTCAATAGTCAGATAAATGTCTTATACAAGCATTCTGACGTGACATCATCATAATAATAAAATTATTCTCTAGATAACTTTTATCTAACCATTGAAAAATAAGCCAGAGGACAGACCGACAGACTGACACTATATCTTTAAAATTTTGTTTGACGGCCAAAAGTGCCTGTAACGGGCTAATTGAAATAAATGATTTTGACTTTGACTATTTTTATTTATTACTAGCGGTCGCTACCCGACCTTCGATGCACGGGTGCAAAGTTGATATTATTTTTTTTACACTATTTAGTGGATGTTATCACTACGTAGTATTAAAAAGTCGTTTATTCTGTCCCTATATCCCTATATATGCTTAATTCTTTACAATTTACAAAAGATTTCGTGGATACTGTCTTATAATATTTTCATGAAAATTTTGTCCAATATTTTAACTAGTTTCATGAATGAATGAGCGAGCGCAAAATTTTTTGTTCCCCTTAAAGAAATTTGCACATAGCTAAAAGCGATATCTACCTGGAAACCTTTTATGAATAATTGAATAATCATGTTATAAATACGACATAAGTTGGTGTTACCTTTCTGTTTCCGATTTCTAATAAAACTTACTACAGAATAAAAGGGTTTTCACATGTCATCGAGACGTAACCATCATATAAATTATAAATTTTCAGGATTTCTGGGGGGACAGCGCGAACGCAGTCCCCACTACCAAAAAATACGCATCCGAGTTATCCGCATTAGGGATAATCGCAGGGGTCAACCCTTTCGCAGTGCAATGAAAGGATCTCGCCCTGGGGGAACCGCCTTCTTGATCACGGTATCCCCTATGCCAGGTAAGTATGCTTTGCTCCGAGCGAGCCGCGAGGGTCGTTCGACGGCGGAGAATCTTAACACCGCGATTCAAAAACGTGACGTATTTTACTAACGCCATCTAGTTGCGGATTCGGCACTAAAATCTCCCCTTCGCATAACCCCCCCCCCCCTCCATTACCGCTTATTGCATTTCTAAAGGTTAATGTCTATTGTTAGCGACATGGCGAGTAGAATATTTTGCATTGTAAAATATTGATTTTGGTCCTTATAGCCAATGGAATAACGTTTCTACATATAAATGGTGATATGGTATTTGACAACATTTTTATGTTCTTTTACTAACACATTATGGAATTTTTACAATGAAACAATAAATTTATTTTTGCAAATAGGCCATAAAACGGCACTTTTACACGTCAAATTATATGTGAAAAACTAGATGAAGCGTGCATATCCTATCTGACTACTCTGAGCAGAAATGCCGAAACAAACTCAGAGGTCAGTCTCTTTTCATAAATTCTCATGTAACTGATACATAACTACTGTTATGTACTTAGTTATTTTCATAAGCAACTAGTCTACACTAATATTATATAGAGGTCCCAAGTAGCATTCGGGGTTCTATATAAGATGTCTAGTCGTTCACATGTACTCTAGAAGCTGTGTATGTCAGCTGTATATGAGCTGTATAGCTTGCTATAATGCTTTTATTGAACCAGTTTGGGCACAAATTAGACAGCCTTAAGTTCACTATGGCTGTACATTAGAAGTATAATAGCATTATAATAGCAGTTAAAGTAGTAACATCGGACTTAAGGCTGACTTACGGCACTATATGGAACGCAGTGTGAACCATACAACGTCCATGAGTGTAATAAAGAGTAATAAGTGGCTAAATACACAGCCTTCACAGTTAAAATCGGACAAAAGTACTCCAGTAAGCTACCTTAAATTCACTTGTGTCCTAAATTATTTCCACAATATATTAGTTTGACAATTGTACGGAGTGCACGGCTTCGGGGCAAACTAACTCCGGCGGATTATTATTATAATATAACACGTGGTAAAAGTACCAGTTTTATATACTATATCATGTTAATGCCATGGGAATGCAATTTTATCGTGAAATGTATACATATTGACAACTAAAAGTTTCACGCGCCTCTGTAAAAACGCTTTATTCATTTTGAAGTGTTACGTAACATTTGTAAGTTTGTATATAGGGGGTAATCTTTGGAACCGCTGATCGGATTTCCGAAATTCTTTCACTAATAGATAGGTACAATGTTCCTGAGTGCTATAGGCTATAAAACATCACGCTACGATCAAATGGAGCCGAGCAGCGGGTGATACAGCGCGAGAGTAGCTTGTATGCAATCAATATTTGTTGCGGCACCGGTGACTGGCTTTTGTAAGTAATCTAACGGATGATAAGGATTGAGGTTTTTGGAGATTTAGGGATGAGGGGAGGGGACGGATTGGGCCTCCGGTAACCTCACTCACACGGTGAAACACAACGCTATGGTTGTTTCACGCCGGTTTTCTGTGGTATCACTTCGGTCGAGCTGATCCATTTGTGCCGAAGCATGACTCTCTCACACTTATTAACTTCGGCTTTGTTTTTGTTACCGGAAAAAAATAGCATGTGTTGTTTATTCAGAGTATAGGTACTATCTCTGTGCCAAATGCTATCCAAATCCGGCGGCAGTAGTCATGTCCATGGGCGGCGCCGATTGCACACCATCCAGCTATCTATACTTACGTATTTTAAGTTATAATATATATTAAGAATGCCAGAAACTTATAACATGTTTCGTGGTGCGCTAAAAAACAATAATTTTTAATCGGTTTTTGAGTTGCTTCAACGTGTTGCTGTAAGTTTTCCTCAAAATTCTGTGTTAATTTTATTTCAATCAACTCTGTCTATCTGCCTGTCTCCTTCACACTTAAACTACTGAACCGATTTTGGATAAAATTTTGTGCAGACATTGTTTGAAACTGGGGAAAGGGCATAGGATAGTTTTAATCCCGGGAGTTCAAAATAAGAACTTCCCGAAAATCGTACGAGATCGGAAACTATGTGGGTAAAACCAAAAATCTGCCAGAAATCACTATTCCACGCGGACAAAGTCGTTTGCAGAAGCTAGTTAGTACTAAGATTGCATATCATTAGTAATCATTCAGCTCTTGAGCCTTGAGCCGTCCTATCCCAAAAAAAAACAAGAATTATCCATAACTAAACTGGTTTCATAGTCACCCTACTACAAATAAAGTAAACCATTGTTTTAAACTGTTAAGTAACATTTAACTGGGGCGTACGTCATCTAACAGTTAGTTATTTCATAACTGAACCATGATTTAACCATCATAATTAGAAATATCCTTCATGTGTGTAAATTTGTACATATATGTGGTAATATAAGTTAAGTTTTAAGGTCATTTTAACCTATTCTTTTGTGGCGTAGTTAAATATGTTTGGCGGTGAATTTACTCTTCCCGTAGGTGTAGAAATATACTAATATTGATCAAAAAAAAAAAAACAAAAAAAAAACAAATTTTATTAATTTAGGTTTAATAAATAAATAATAATAATAAGATTTATTGAAGAACACATAATCTAGAATATACAGTTTTGCTTAAAGCTATACCTAGTTCATAATATTGGGTGCCTGAACTAGGACAACCTGTGTTTTAGGCGAAAATGGGTAAAATACATTGTTAAATAATCATAAGTACATAAGTGTTTTTAAATTAAGGAAATAATGCTACCATTTATATTAAAAATAACAGGATAAAACGATACTTAAATTCTATATCTATGTTTAATTAAATAAAAATTAAACCATAAATAAAAATAAAAACATTTACTACAGTTATTTAGGAACTAATAATAACTTCTCTGTGTCTTCATAGGACATGTCTTGAAGTGCTTCGATGAGGATTACGTTTGTACATAAATATCTTATATTAGGTATTACATTTTAATTAATCTACGTATATAACGTTACGGTGCCTGTATAGAATTGAATCTGTACCACAGGCGTTACGGTCACTTTCAGTTACTGTTATGCTATGATTCATCCTTAACAATATTTATTTTTATTCAGATAACTAACTCATAATTTATACATAATTTTTAAGTGTTAGAGAGCCATGCTTCGGCACGAATGGGTCGGCTCGACCGGAGTGATACCACGGCCTCACAGAAAACCGGCGTGAAATAACCACAGCGTTGTGTTTCGCCGTGTGAGTGAGGTTACCGGAGGCCCAATCCTTCCCCTCCCCCAATCCCTCCTAAATCCCTAAATCTCCAAATCCCTAATCCCTAAAAGGTCGGCAACGCACTCGTAACTCCTCCGTTGCGAGTGTCCATGGGCGGCGCTGATTGCTTACCATCAGGTAATCCGTCTGCTCGTTTGCGGAACTATTAAAAAAAAAAAAAAAACATTTCATTTATACATAACTGACTGATGATGATTGATGATTTACACGATCCCGACGATCTACACACCTGAGGCCAAACTTTATGATGAGGTAGCATGAGAAGTAGCAAAGCCGAGATGTTTATAAGATCAACTGCAGCTGCGGTAGTTCCTACATTGGGCAAACGAAGCGGACCATTGCGACGTCACGCGTAATGTTTATACTCTGTGGACCATAGACAAAATGTCAGCTTTTGTTTTTTTTGTTCTTTAGTTATTAATTTTTTAAGTCATTTAATTTTTATATGTATAATTTAGTTTAGATTTTTAGTATTATTTTATTTTCTTCTTTTTTTTTGGTATTTTTGTTTTATGTGTGTGCGCTTGCGCGAAAATAAATGTTTTTCTTTCTTTCTTTCTTCTTTCATTGCTGAGAGGCTCAAAGAACATATCGCCGCAGTCAAGAACCGACAGAGCAACAAATCAGCTATAGCACACCACCTGCTCCAGGCTGGATATAATCACTGGATAAAATTCCACCGACCGAAAATTCTCTCCACTGATCGCCAATACCATACAAGACATATTTTAAATTGTCGTCGACGTGGAATCCAGTGAATTTATTAAGTGTGGGAGAGCCATGCTTCGGCACGAATGGGTCGGCTCGACCGGAGTTATGCCACGGCCTCACAGAAAACCGACGTGAAACAACCACAGTGTTGTGTTTCGCCGTGTAAGTGAGGTTACCGGAGGCCCAATCCAGTTCCTAAATCTCCAAATCCCTAATCCCTGAAAGGTCGGCAACGCACTCGTAACTCCTCCGTTTCGGGTGTCCATGGGCGGCGCTGATTGCTTACCATCAGGTAATCCGCCTGCTTGTTTGCCGACCTATTACATAAAAAAAAATTCGCAAAACACAACCTCGCTTTCCTTCAAAGTCGGTTAACACATCTGTGGATACAGTCAGCGTAGTGTGTAGACGGCCTAATATAGGTATGAGTCATAAAAGACGCCCCCCGGGAAGGTTTATATGAATCAAAACATCCTTTAGAGGTATGAGGAACAGGGTGGAAAGTTCCTCATCCTTCATTGAATAGGGAGGATCCTCCGACCAGGCGAGGTGTTCGTGCCTGGTGGGCTACTGCCCGACGATTGTTGTCGGGATATCTGTATGAGTGCTAATTGTGTTGAAAACTCTTAAAGCGCGATGTAGACTCTTGCACGTGATTGGTGCTGTTGTAAATGTAGTTCGCTAGCTGTCGCTACAAACCAATATGCACCGCGACCCCCAGGAGAAGGAACGTTTCTAGCCAGTATGAGTTTATACCACTCCTTTATTTCGTCCCACCCAGAGCTGGAAAAGTAATTTCATCATTTTCCCCTATCGAAAGAAAAACTTGTCACAAGCAACAGGATGTGACGTAGAGATTTGCGTATGTGGATCAAACGGGCTGTCATGTATGTATGTCACGCATATTTATGTACTTGTTGGCCATTTTGTAGTTGTATGGCTGTATCATGATTTTTAAATCGAAACGCGAATGTGGATTAGTAATGATTTAGGTTTTAAATATAAAAATGTGTGCTTTAACTTTTTTACCCGACTACGGCAAAGCAAAAGGAGGGTTATGTTTTTGACAGGCTATGTATGTATGTATGTTCATCTGTTCCCTCGTAACTTCTAAACTACTTATCAGAATTCGACATATGACATATCGTTAGAAACGTCTTAGTTGTCCGCTGGTTATAGGCTATAATTGATGTATCACAAAATGTAATGTGGCGTCCTCTAGCGGACAAAACAACCAGGGTAAAAAATAAAGTTAAAATAATTATACCGTGTTTGGTATCATTTTAAAGCGCTTTACTTGTACATTTTGAATATATGTATATATATATATACATATATTTATATATATATATATATATATATACATATACATATACATATACATATTACTATACTATAGTAGCAAACGCATCCACTAGACTGTCGAAGCATAGTAGAAACAGTGTTAAAAATTAAAATAAAAAGCTGACCCAATAACTATTCATCCGTGACAATTGTCATTCAATTCGTTCACTCATTCATTCAATTGATTGCTTCACTTGTCGTTCATTGTTGTAAACCGCCATTCATTGAACCGTTTGACAATATTGACACTATTTTATTGATTTGTGTATGTATAATTGTAACGTCCGTTGAAGCCCGGAGGTATTTTTTTCTTGTGAGGGGAAAATCATCAAATGACTTCTCCTGCCCAGGGTCAGGCGGGAGGGAGTGTCAGAGTCTTACTGACTAAAAACCCCCTGTTCCTACTCCTGCTCTAGGCCGAGGTCGCCGTGCCTCATTGCGCTTACCCCGCAACCCCGGCTGAAATCGTGAGGAAACCTGGACTTATAATTTCTTATTATAAGTTTGAAATCGCCAACCCGCATTGGTGATTAATGCTCTAACCTTCTCCGTGTGAGAAGAGGCCTTTGCTCAGCAGTGGGCACTTTATAGGCTGATGATGATGATGATGATGTTGAATTTATAGAGATACATGACATTGAATAATATTCATGGAATATAATGGTTAACTTGACATATTACTTATTTTAATGTATTTTACAATGACATTTTTATTTTGTTAATAATTTTTTCTATCTTTATTGACTTAACCTAACATATTTCATACGTCTGTGAGGGCAGATTTTGGTAGTAATAACTCAGTAATGTGATCTAATTTACCCATAATGTGATGAATCAATGATTTGATTTGATTTGAACATGTAGTTTCGTGGGTATTAACGCTTGTGTAGACGGCCTAATCTATACTAATATTATAAAGAGCTAAAATTTGTAAGTTTGTATGTTTGTATGTAGGGGGTAATCTTTGGAACCGCTGGTCGGATTGCCAAAATTCTTTCACTGACAGATAGCTACAATGTTCCTGAGTGCTACAGGCTATAAAACATCACTCTACAATCAAATGGAGCTGAGCAGCGGGTGAAACCGCGCGAGATTAGCTAGTATTACCATACTAGCTAATCTCGCGAAAGTGAAAATAAGGAGGTAGATGAAGATTCATCACCCGAATGCAGGGAGCTGTGACATCGCGTCTTCAGTCTGCTTGTGACCACGACCTGTGCAACCGGGTCGAAACGTCAAGACTACCAAGGTATTTAAATTATTATTTGCCGCGTAACTAACAAGTACCAATGTGATTTTTTCCAAATTATATGTACTTTCTATGATTATTTAAACACCACTGACATAGTGTGAAGGAGACGTCGTGATGAAACCATTACGGATGGATGGTAAGGGATAATGGATTTGAGGAACGAGGAAGGTTTTTTTTTGTGAGCCCAGGCCCAGGGCGGGGCGGGAGGGAGTGTCAGACTCTTACTGACTAAAAACCCCCCTGTTCCTTCTCCTGCTCTGGGCCGAGGTCGCGGTGCCTCATTGCGGTTACCCCGCAACACCGGGAAGGTGAGGGAAGGATTGGGCCTCTGGTAACCTCACTAACCAAACACAACGTAAGTGTTTTCTCACGCCGGTTTTCCGTGAGGCCGTGGTATCACTCCGGTCGAGCCGGGCCATAAGTGCCGAAGCATGGCTCTCTTACATTTGAACAAATACATATGCTGGATTTGATTTCCTTAAAACTACATAAAGATTATATCTTAGCAACAAGCTGTTCTGTATAGCGTTTAAGAGTAGGTCGTAATTGGTAACTCATGTTTTGATTTCGCATGCTGCGAACGTAGGTGGGTTAAGCAATCGTTAAACCGGTCACCGATCGGATGGGTGACCAGATTGAATCTTAAACAATACTTGTTTGATTGATGACACAGTTCTTATTGTGTTGTGGTTGAGAGTGTGACTGCTTTGTACATGGTCGTGAGTTCGATTTTTTTTTATATAATAGGTCGACAAACGAGCAGACGGGTTTAAGTGATGGTAAGCAATCAGCGCCGCCCATGGACACCCGCAACGGAGGAGTTACGATTGCGTTGCCGACCGTTTAGGGATTGGGGAGGGATCGGGGGAGAGGAAGGATTGGGCCTCCGGTAAGCTCATTCACTCGGCGAAACACATCGCTGTGGTTGATTCACGCCGGTTTTCGGAGCCGACCCATTCGTGCCGAAGATTGGCTCTCCCACACTTACAACACTTGGTTTAAACAATTTATGTTTTTGGAATAAAATACCAAAACAATATAGGTGATAGACTTGACTTTTATGTTTAATGCCTCAAAACAAACTAAAGACGGAATATTTTGTTTTATTTTTTATGTAGTACCTAAAAGTAACGATGTTTTTTTTTGTACATCAAGTCAAGTCAGTTAGAGTATGAGACCTGCGGCCACCGTAGGGCGCGGCCTGCGGACGACAGACTCTGACATGTCGTCCGACCAGCAGCAGGCCTCGAGGTGGTGGCGCTGTGTTCCGCGCGCGCCTCATAGTGGAGTCCTGCGGTCGGGGTTACGGCCGCAGTGGGTCACGGGGCCCACCTGATAACGGCGGGCCAATACCCGTCGGGGGGATGCGACGAATGCTTCGGCGATACCCGCCCCTCCGACACATGGGTAAAAGGAGGAACACACAGTCAGTAAGAGTCTGACAGTACCCTTCGCCCTTCCCCGAGGGCGGTGGGTCTCCATGAGTATACTCCAAACCGATACCAAGAAAAAAAGAGTCTGACACTCAGGGCGAGACTAGGTGACGTTCCTCTAAAAAAAGGTTAATTTTATTAGCAAAAATACTTTGCCCTATGTAACTGAACTCTGCACGCTTAACTCGTCAGTTATCCTTGTAACTACACAACAAAAGAGTCAGGCTTTTTTTTTCTTTTTTAAAAAAAACGTTGCCCCAAACTTGGAATTTCTCCTGTGTCGTGGGTGCGTTTACAAACATATAAATTCACATACACAACACACCCAGACCTGAAACAACAATATGTGGATCACACAAAGTGTTGTTCCGTGCGGGAATCGAACCCGCGACACGTTGCACAGCAGCCAGTTGCCCAGCATCTGCGCCAACCGTGCAGTCAGTTATTGCATTACATAATGATCTAGACTAAATATCAGACTATGACTTGACAACAATTGAACTGCTTTCTCTTGTGAATTGTGGTTTGCCCGATCTTCGGTGACGAGGTGAAAGTTCAGTGCAAAATATTATTACTGAAGCGACTGGTTTATAGTACCACGCTTGTTATTAAGCGCAGAGGTTTTTTGACAGATTACCTGATGGTAAGCAGTCGGCGCGGCCCATGGACAGTCGTAATGCCAAAAGAGTTACTAAAAGGGTTTTGCCGGCCTTTTCGGGGTTATCATTACTAATCTATAGTATCTATACTAATATTATAAAAAGGTAAAAATTGTAAGTTTGTATGTAGGGGGTAATCTTTGGAACCGCTGGTCGGATTCCTGATTGGTGGCTACAATGTTCCTTAGTGTTATATGCTAAAGTCAAAATCATTTATTTCAATAAGACCAATACAGGCACTTTTGAACGTCAAACAAAATTTTGAAGATATAAAGTGTCAGTCTGTCGGTCAGTCCTCTTAGTGAAGCTATTGGCTCGTTCCAAAGTGTAGATTCCGATGGAGAAGAACGAGCAACAAACTCCATGGTTACTCTTTTAAAATCAGTGTCACATAAAGATTCTTTGATACATTATTTAGTTGGTTTGATTATGTGAGAACAGTGTAACGCGTGTATACAGAGAAACATAAAAGAAAATAACCTTATGGACAATAGACAAATCAAGAAGAAAAATCAAGTTTTTTTTAAATAGAAGTTATAGGTCTAACAATCCGACATGGACTGAAATCACAAAAGCATTATATTTTATCGTGTGCGTTTTGGAACTGGAGGTCCAATCGCTTTCTCCTAAAAGGGGTAGCTCGGCTTTCGGTAAAAATCAGAGCTGAGTCTTTGTCCCGTAAAGGGTCTCAGTATTATCCTGAACGACAGCCGTTTTACGTAAAAGTGACGCTTATTTCTTATTATGTACTTGATACTCTAGCGCGGTTTCACCCGCTGCTAGGCTCCATTTAATCGTAGCGTGATGTTTTATGGCCTATTATAGCACTCAGGAACATTGTAGCTATACATATCAGTAAAAGAATTTTGGAAATTCGACCAGCGGTTCCAAAGATTAACCCGTACATCCAAATTTAAAAACATACAAATTTAAAAAAATTCCCTCTTTATATGTATATGTATTTCAGTATAGATATAGATTTTCTTTTCGTTTTGTGTTTCTTATTGTAGTCATTTATTTTCGTAGTAGTAGTAGTAGTGAGGTTACAGTCGACCAATCTCTATCCCTCCCTATGCCTTCCCAATCATTAAATATCCGAAACCCCTATCCCTAAAAGGCCAACAACGCACTCATTAATGCCTTTGGTGTTGCGGGTGTCCATGGGCGACGCTGATTGCTTACCATCAGGTAATCCGTCTGCTCGTTTGTCGACTAATCATATAAAAAAAGTGTTTGTTTGTCTATATACATGTGAACTTTCTTGTATACGTAAACAAAGTCACGGGAAAATGCTAGTATGTAGAATCACTAATAGACATAATAGCAAAGAAACGTCTAGCTAATGAACTGTAGGCGAATCAGTCTAGATCTAGATCTAGATCTAGTGTTCAAGGTTAAAACACTAGAATGTTACAAGACCTAGGTTTTACCTGGTACCTAGACAGTCTAGGCACTGATTTGTTTAGTTTTGTTATTATAATGAGTTTTGGTATGAACGTTCTTTACTGTTGTGATAAGAACTAATCAATTAATTAATTAATTAACCTAAGATAAAAAGATAAAGATAGATAAGATAAAAGATTTTTATTTCATGTAACATTGCTTACATAATATAAATTAAGGCAACCCCAGTAAGTTACAAAAACACTTGGGTTGGTCTCTCGTTTTTTCCCCTTACGAACTCAAATTACAATGTTGAGACTATAACTACAAATATACTTATGTTTAAAAATAAAAGAAAGAAAAATCAAATTAATTAATTTAATTTAATCTTTTGGTAAAAAACTAAATTCCTGAAGTTTTCTTACCAGTCAACTTTTTAAAGAAGTTCTACTTTGAGCAGGAGAGGTAATGGGATGGTTTTTAGTCAGTAAGAGTCTGACACTCTATTCTTTTTAAATGACTGGCTACTCTCGCGCGGTTTCACCCGCTGCTCGTCTCCATTTGATCGTAGCGAAATGTTCAATAGCCTATAGGACTCAGGAACATTGTAGCTATCTACCAGTGAAATAATTTTGGCAATCCGACCAGCGGTTCCAAAGATTACGTCCTACATACAAACTTACAAATTTTACCTCTTTATAATATTAGTATAGATAAATCACCCAAATCCTTGAGGTTTTTTTACCAGTTAACTTTTTAAAGAGGTTCGGCTCTGAGCAGGAGAGGGAATGAGATGGTGATGGTGATGAGGGTTTTTAGTCAGAAAGAGTCTGACACTCCCTTCTTTTTATGTTATATGTTATAGGTTATAGGTCGGCAAACGAGCGTTCAGATTACCTGATGTTAAGTCATCGGCGCCGTCCGTAGACTCCCGCAATACCAAAGGAGTTACAAGTACCTTGTCAACCTTCAGGGGATCGGGGTCTCAATGATTTAGAGATTGGGGCAGAGGAAGACGATTTGAACCTCCGGTAACCACATAATATGTATGTCGAAACAAAACGTTTTGGTTATTTCACGCCCGTTTTTTTGAAGCCAGGGTATTACGCGACCGAAGTCCGGTCGGCCCGAGAGGGCCGGCCCGTTCGTGCCGAAGCTTGGCTCATCCACATTTAGGTAAGAGTAGTCATTGGGTGAGTGATTTTTCCCATTAAAGGGAAAACCTTGAGATCTGCTATTTGAGCCAGGTTTGCAGGGAAAGCTCAATAAGCCACCGCAGTCTCACCCTCGAGCAAGGGATTTAAGTGTGGAAGAGCTAACAACAAGAGACGGATTGTCTGATGGTAAGCAATCAGCGCCGCCCATGGACATCCGTAACGGAGGAGTTACGAGTGCGTTGTCGACCTTTTAGGGATTAGGGATTTGGAGATTTAGAGATTGAGGAAGGATTGGGGGCGGGGAACTATTGGGCCTCCGGTAACCTCACTCAAACGGCGATACCCAACGCTGTGGTTGTTTCACGCCGGTCTTCTGTGATGCCGTGGTATCACTCCGGTCGAGCCGACCCATTATATTTCCGTCACAAAAAAGATGTTTCCATTAATAAAACAATAACAAAATGAAATTCTAAAGTAAATGAACAAATAGTTATTATATAATGAACATTCCTTGTTCTGACACCCACATTAACGTTTATAGTCTGTACCGACGCTATACAGGGACTCAAGTCACGTGGCCTGTCCATACCAATTGAATAAAATAAAGTTTTAAAATAACATTCAGCTCTGTGAGTGCATTGTTGTGTGGCTATAAAAAAGCTGACGTTTTTGTGGGATTTATGTACTACTACTATAGCTTCCGCCCGCAGTTTTGCCCGCGTTGTATGTTTATAAGAAGCAGCTTATGTGTTAATCCAGAACCAGAACCAGACCCGAGCGTACGGCGCATAGCGTTCCGCGCGCGCCTCAAAGAGCCAATAGACCACCACAGACGGGGCCCTATAGAGCTGATGTTCAGCCGGGGTTGCGGGGTAAGTGAAATGATCGACCGCGACCTCGGCCCAGAGCAGGCGAAGGAACAGGGGGGTTTTCAGTCAGTAAGATTTTGACATTCCCTTCCGCTCGGTCCTGGGCGGGAAAATCATTTTTGATGATTTTCCCCTTACAAAAAACCTATCAACAAACCGAATTTTAACCAAATCCATCCAGCCGTTTTTGCGTGATAGACAAACATACATCTATATATTCTCACAAACTTTCACATTTATATTATTATATCCTACTACAGAATGAGAATGCCGGGGTAGTCCGTAGGTTCGAAGACTGGCAAGTAACAAAGTGACTTTCCGAGACAAATGTACAAAGGTCGGCAAACGAGCTGACGGATTACGTGATGGTAAGCAATCAGCTCCGTCCATGAACACCCGCAACGTCTGAGCAACACTGTACTTCCAGATTTTCGAACTTGCATTCTCATGCACGAGCAGCGGGCGGGTTAACCACTATAACCTGTGCCACTACGACCCCGGAATAAAGAATAGATTATTATTGAACTTCTGGATGTTATTGGGTGATGCATCCACACACTGTTATTCAACGTTTTAAAAAAATATAATAATGTCTGTTACGAATAAATTCTAACAATAGATTTGGAACGCTAAACGTTATTGCATCCATTTGTGAGCACAGAAACCTTTCAATGCACCGGTATCTTCCTTTCTCCTCAGTCCTTGAATCTTGTACCAATTCTAAGACGAAAGTAACAAATAAATATTTATAACTAGCTTCCGCTCCCGGCTTCGCCCATGTGGTATGATGATAAAAAATAGCCTATGTCCTATTCCAGAGTGTATCTTATGCGTGTGCCAAATTTCATCCAGATCCAACCAGCCGTTTTGGCGTGATTGAGTAATAAACATCCAAACATCGTAACTTTCGCATTTATAATATTAGTAAGACGTAAGATAAAACATACAAAAGCTTGAATTAAGAACTATGCAGAGATTGTAATGTTGACAAGGATTTAGCGAGGTTGACTGTCCAGGCGACATATAAGGCGTTTGGCTCCCAAGTTGGAACGGACCGGGGCTGCAATCATTCGGTTCCTGCACAAACTTAGGGGCAACCGCCTCTTTTCCTGGGGGCCCTGTGCTTAAGCAGCAGCCACCTTGTGCACTAGTCACGTCCAAAAGGGTCATGGCTATACGAATACTTTGCGAATATCGCACGATTCTCGGGAAGGCGGGAACCTCCTGGCCGGATCACCGCCATGGGATCTGGAAGCGAAGGTGCTGGCGTGTCAACTCATCTCGAGCTGGAGCTCGATCTCGTGGCAGAGTGGAAGCAACTACTTTCGCAACCGAGTGCCGGGAGCGAGCGGTGACACACCTAGGAATCGTCATGTGTTAAAATGTAAACAGCAGCTCATGTAGTGTAGATGTCTAGTCAACAAGGATGTAGCGAGGTTGACTGTCCAGGCGACACACGTACTTAGGTATCGTCATGAGCTAATGTTCACATGTAAACAGCAGCTCATGTAGTGTAGATGTCCAGTCAACAAGGATGTAGCGAGGTTGACTGTCCAGGCGACACACGTACTTGGGTATCGTCATGAGCTAATGTTCACATGTAAACTACAGCTCATGTAGTGTAGATGTCTAGTCAACAAGGATGTAGCGAGGTTGACTGTCCAGGCGACACACGTACTTAGGTATTGTCATGAGCTAATGTTCACATGTAAACAGCAGCTCATGTAGTGTAGATGTCCAGCCAACAAGGATGTAGCGAGGTTGCCTGTCCAGGCGACACACGTACTTAGGTATTGTCATGAGCTAATGTTCACATGTAAACAGCAGCTCATGTAGTGTAGATGTCCAGTCAACAAGGATGTAGCGAGGTTGACTGTCCAGGCGGTTGTGGCGAGAGCTTTTGTTCAGTATTTGCCCAGGTCTTTTAAACTGATTTTTTATTCCTTTTGGAACCAATGTACATGACATTACCTCTCATTCCTTCGGCATATGAGTAACAAGGATAACAATTGTCATTTATAAACAGATTATGAAATGCCAAGTTTTATCTCAAACGGTTAAGTAAGTTAAGTGACATTTGCTGCGGCTCGTTTTAGGATGGGTGGCCTTGAATAATGAGTGTAGATCTAGTTTTTTATTGATCTATATTATGATGGATGCCTTAAGTTTGGATGTTGAGGTCTTGACTTGTACTTAATATTAGTATAGAAAATCCGGCTTGAGTAAGCTTGGTAGATAATGCTCAATCCTTCTCCATGTGAGAAGAGGCATTTGCTCAGCAGTGGGCACTTAAAGGTTGATGATGTGGTGTATTGACCTAATATATGTATACGTATTTATTGAAATACGTTGGCTGCGTGAATTCGCGTTCATGAATAAGAGTCCCGTTTTGACTTGAAACTAGTAGAGATTTTCTAAGTTATTTTACGTAATTATTTCGTTATCTATGCTAATATTATAAATAGGTAAAATTTGTAAGTTTGTATGTTTGTAAGTTTGTAAGATTGTAAGTTTGTAGGTTTGTAAGTTTGTAAGTTCGTTCATAAGTTTGTAAGTTTTGTATGTAGGGGGTTCTTTCGAACTTACTAACTAACTAACTCCACTAATAGATAGCTATAATGTACCCGAGTGCTATAAAACATCACGCTACGATCAAGCCGCGCGAGAGTAGATAGTTTTCAATATATATAAATAAATTTTGTATGTCTCACGATAGTTTCTATTCAAAAGTATAACACGTATAATACGCATATACTTTATAGATACTTATACTTTAAATTTGTAATAGGTATTAGTTGTTTTGGTCGCGTAAGTATACTAGTTACTGAATATAGTCATAAATTCTGTTTGGCTATTACGTGACTCATATTGCAAGTTTCAAATGTAATAGTTTCGTTTTTAACATGATACGAGTGCCAATAGGTATTCAATGTTTTCAATACTCAATATTACTTTGCACTCATATGAATTCGATACCTCAGATGTTTTAAGAATATACAGTCATTTTTATTTAACCGTAGTGTAATCCTATATTTATGGAACAAACTTTAATAATAAAAAAATCTTACTTTTTACTTCTTTCTTCTTCTAACTTGTGACTTGTTGTTGATGTTTGGATGTTTGTTTCTTTATCACGCCAAAACGGCTGGACGGATCTGGATGAAATTTGACACAGGCATAGGATACACTCCGGAATAGGACATAAGCTACTTTTTGTCAACATACTACGCGGGGAAAGCCGCGGGCTGAAGCTAATTAGTTATAAGTTGCAATTTACATGCTTTATTAATTAAGCAAAACATGACGATCTATTGTAACTTTAACACATACCGAGACAAGCTCTAGAGTGGACACCACAAGGCAGGCGAAAAGTTGGCTGTCCTGGTCCGAAATTAAGCACATAGCCCAAGATAGGTCCAAATGGAAAAATACTGTGGAAGCCCTCTGCCCCATCTAGGGGACATAGGACCCTAAGTAAGTAAGTAATACCATGTTTTCCGCAAATAAATGTCTTTATCTTTTTTTACTTTTAAAAAGTGAGTTCATAATTATTTTGCTTAGCCCTTTTTCGTATATTTTTCATATTTATAGTAAATAATTCAGGATTATCAACTTAGGGCAGATTTTTCAATCGTCAGATAAATATTATCTGAGCAATAAAATTGTTGCTGTCACTGTCTTATACAAACATTCTGACGCGACAGCATCATAATTATTACCCAGGTAACTTTGATCTAACCATTGAAAAATCAGCCCTAAAAATAGCAACCAAAAACCACTAAGGTTTAAACTTAGGCTGTCATGAATCTATCTTAAAATCGATGTGTAGTAAAATGTATCTAGAATTGTAGTATACTTAGATTTTCTTTTGTTCTTTTTTGCTATTATTTTTCATAAAAGGAAAGCAAAATTTTTTCAGGAAATACTATTTAACAATATCTAGCTGTAAATTGAAATAAAAGCAAAAAAAATATGAAAAACTTGTGGTGTAACTTGAAGCATGCACTTAAATGTATTTAATCATTTTAGGGCTCATTTTTCAATGGTTAGATAAAAGCTATCTTGGGTATAATTATGATGCTGTCGCGTCAGAATGTTTGTATGAGACAGTGACAGCAACAATTTTATTCCTCAGGTAAAAATCAGACTATTGAGAAATCAGCCGTTAGAAAAATAAAAGGACGCGTTTCTTAAAAAATGTTTAGGTTTTTTATATTATGATAGTTGGGAAACGAGCCAACGGATTATCTGATGTTAAGCAATCAGCGTCGCCTATGACTCTCGCAACGACGAGTGCGTGCCGACCTTTTGGGGGTTAGGGACTTGGAGATTTTGGGGATAGGGATTTGGCGTCCGGTCACCACACTCACACGGCGAAACATAATGCTGTGGGTATTTCACGCCGGTTTTCTGTGAGGTCGTGGTATCACTCCGGTCGAGCCGATCGTGCCGAGGCATGGCTCTCCCACACTTAAATAATATATCAGTGTTATTAATTACTTATAAAATTATATATTCGTACTACAAATGACTAGAATATACAATACGACAAAAATGCTAATTGAAATACCTTTGAAGTATGAAAATATGGAAACATATTTGGATAGGAGATACACAGAATCCTGTAACTTAGGTACGTTGTCAAACTTTATTTTAATTTTAAATAAGTTAGCTGCTTGCTTCTCTCCTGGTGATAAGCGATGATGTAACCTACCATGGAGCACGCCTACTTATACTACTCGGGCCTTCAGGACACCCAGGTTTTTTGAACGGACTGGGGCCGCGCACGGCTCTTTCTATACCTGGGGGGACCAAACACCTCCTGCCACAGGTTGTATATGGGGATCGTGCGATCCATGGCCCTCTACGGGGCCCCAGTGTGGGCGCCGGGACTTGAGGCGGCCACAGACCATTCCAAGTCCAGTCTTCACCATATGTCAATACTGTGTAAATAATCTTCGAAGTATATATGTAGAATGTATAACATGTAAGAATTCATATTGGTACTTTCCAGGTTTCAAAACTGCTTGAAAGAAGCGGGCAGCGGCGAGCAGGCAGATTACCTGATGGCAAGCAATCAGCGCTGACCATGGACACCCCAAACACCCGAGGAGAGGACTGTTGTAGGTGTAAGTGGTTTTTGCGGGCGGCCTTTTGGCGATTGGCGTTTCAGATATTTACAATAATTTACACTTAAAATCGCAATTCAGAACGCTTCTAAATATAATACTTTGCCTTTTAAAAGTCTCCATTTTTATTGTCCTAACAACAGATACCGCAATAATTACAGAAGACATTTTTGAAAGTCGAAAAAGCACAACAATGAAGCGTTGAAACCGTCCAAATTCTATTCATCCAAACGTGAGTCATACTCGATTACAAAATCGTAGTAATAAGGACAACTAAATCCTTCCTACTTAGACCACAAAACTTAATTCGTTACCATGATAAAAAAATCAGTTAACAAAACAAAACGAAACGAAGTAAAAACCAACACATACATACATACACACAACAATAATAAAAATTTCTCAACAAAAGTCAGCCCTGAGATGCATGTGAAAAAAAATAATGCAGCCATCTTTTTTTACGTTCACTGGTCGGCTGTCATTCGGCATAAAAGGGCGCGAAAATCAAACTTTTAACTCAGTCTAGCCGCGGCGTTGACACGCGTCAAACGTGAAATCCGATCGTCATTTTCGTTAATTTTTTTCTTTTTTTTACCAATCAGCATTCGTAAGGTGTTGTTCAAAATGAAATACTTCGTTGCTTTTGCTGTTTTCGCTTTGGCCTTTGCCGCTGAAGAACAGAAAGAGGATGAGAGGCCGAAAACTTACAAGAGGTTGATACCCGCCGATGTTTTAAGAGGTCAGTGCTTTTAAATAAAATATTTTACAGGATCAATTAACATATGAACCTTTACTCAAGTTAAAACTGCAAGTGACTTATTTAAAACTTCTTGGTGATATTAGTTAAAAATGCATCTCACAGGCGATCCTGTTTCAGTGGGATTTTGTGTTAAAAATGACATTTATCAAATCTTTTTTAATAAGCAGTAAAATTTAAATTACATTAAGGATTGACATAAAAAATAATGTCAATGAAAATAAAAAATAAAATTTAATTCATAATTCATTCAAAAATCTAAAACAAAAAATAATTTTTTTCGTTTACAAATTTATGCTACAAAAAATAATGGCAAATTGGTTTAACGTGTACACAAAAAATGTGTGAAAGGCAACTAGGTACAAAAGTCGTGAAAGACTTGATCCAAATAATCGCACATCGAACGTTCTAGTAACTTAGTAAAAGTTGAACGTCCAAGATACGGTTAAGTTGGTTTAAGTAATCCGTTACCGCGATTAAGTCATTATTACCTAATTGGTTAAAACAGTAGCAGACTCTCAATTGAGTAATATAAAGCGATTATTTTAAATCAAATCGATGTCAATAAGAATTACATTTAAACAACAAATGTTCGTTCGTAAATAATAATATAAATTATTTTTAATAATTTAATAAACTTTTATTCAGAAAAAATAAATTACAAAAAAAATTGTAATTTCATGTAGTTATTTTTTATTCCAATAACAATTGACAAAAATTTGAATTATTTTATATTATCATATCATATAATCAAAATGGTAATTTTCAAATTCTACTTATGCTCTTTCGATACGATTCGATGCTTTACATACTTACAAAAAATAATTCTCAACAATTTATGACTAACCTTTAAAACAAAGAAGATGTTATGAAAATAAAAATTGCGACCAAAGAACTGTTTTCCTATTGTATAATTCAATGTGGAATTTTCACATAAGCCTTTTATTACAAACATAATTATTATTATCTCAATCAAGTTAGCATATTCACGTATAATATTTTATTGATTTATACTAATATTATAAAGAGGTAAAATTTGTAAGTTTGTATGTAGGTGATTTTTAGAACCGCTGGTCGGATTGCTAAAATTCTTTCACTGATAGATAGCTACAATGTTCCTGAGTGCTCTAAAATATCATGCTACGGTCAAATGGAGCCGAGCAGCTGGTGAAACCGCGCAAGAGTAGCAGGTTATACATAAATGCAATAGAATTTTATCACTTCGAAAATAAATAAATCAATTGTTATTTTAAAACAAATTTAAATTGTAATTTAAATAAACAACAACATTATTAATACGTATAAAACTCTCGCTTATAAATTTTTGAATTGACGTTCTATGCAATTAATAAAATAAATAATAATGCATTAATAATTATAGATTGATTATAATTTTGTTCTCTGCATAATTACTATGACAGCTATGAGCTGTGTAAACTAGTGAAATGACTGTAAACAGTAAAAAGAAAAAATATTTTGCATTACAATTACGCAAAAATTACAATTCTTAATGGGCGTTGAAAAAAAATTGTTGTAAATTAGTCAATCGTCTTGTTCTACTGTTGCGTGTGTGTTTAGAATGAAAAAAGTGTCGTTATTACGCAACAGATGGCGGTAACGGCCCAGTTGGTAAATGTAGGGTTGGCACACTGCATGACAATGTTATGGTATTATTTTTTTACTCTGATTGTCTTCTTGGTAGTGAGATTAGCTTATACTAGGTTCGTTAATATGATTTAGAAATTTAATAATAAGTGTATATTGGTAGGTTTTTTCTTCAACTAATTCGAGTTTCGCGTATCATCATCAAATGGTTTTACAATTATTAATACGTGCGCACGGTAACCAATTTTATTGTACGAAGTGAAAATTATCTTGGATTTCATCAGTGATTCGTCTACATAAAAATTGTGAACTTATATAGATATAGGTCTTATTTATTGACAAGTGCATGGCTAGCGCAGTAGATGCGAAATCAAAAACAGTGCAACAGGCTATGGGTGTCATTATCAATCCTGGTCTGAAAGTTAAATGTAAACAAAACTTGCTAGTCTTTACTTTTCACCGACAAAATAATGCAAAAATTCCTTGTTAAACACAATACAAAGACAGTAAAATAAAATAAAACTCGGTGGCAACCCTACAAATCACAATGGACACAGCTAAATGATTAAGCAGTGAAATTGATGCACAGCCAGTTTTTTATAACCAGTTCGTTACTCGGTTGCGTGTAAACATCGGTTCCTTATAAAATCGTTTTTGGGGTCATATATCGATTTCGCTATATTTCAGTGTCGTGGAGTGACAGGTTATATGTATATGCCAACCAATTTTATTCTTCTGGTTCGCCGTAATGGCTTGGGGGTTAAGACGCCCGCTTCTCATGCATAGGGGATCGAAACCTGGCAAGTACCAATGTGACTTTTTTCGATTTATATGTACTTTCTGCGATTATTTAGACAACATTGACATACGGCGAAGGTAAACATCGTGAGGAAACCTGGCCTATAATTTCTAATTATAAGTTTGAAATCGCCTAGAGCAAGCGTGGTGATTAATGCTCGAACCTTCTCTGTGTGAGAAGAGACTTTTGCTCAGCAGTGGGCACTTATAGGCTAATGATGAACCAATTTATATTCTTTTTGATGGTATTTTCTAGATCCAATTATCTGACTGGATCATTCCCAATCTTTGACATATTGTCAAAGATTGGGTAGCAAAGCCATTTGATAAACCTAAACTTACTGACCTTCATTCTAATTGTCTGTTAGATAGAAGGTAATAGAAGATACCCATCATCCAGCTGTCAGGTTTGGCGCTGGTCCTTTTCAATGATTTCATATCTTCTTTAATAATCACACGTGCATATTTTTTTATGTAATAGGTCGGCAAACGAACAGTCGGATTGCCTGATGGTAAGCAATCAGCGCCGCCCATGGACACTCGCAACGGAGGAGTTACGAGTGCGTTGCCGACCTTTTAGGGATTAGGGATTTGGAGAGTTAGGGATTGAGGAGGGATTGGGGGAGGGGAAGGGAAGGATTGGGCCTCCGGTAATCACTTTGCCAGCGCCTCAAAGAGATATCAGACCACTATAGATGGGACTTTCCAGGGTCGATGTGCAGGAGTTGCAGGTGAAGGCGTAATAATGTACCGTGGCTTCGGCTCTAAGCAGGTTGGAGAAGGAAACAGGGTGGTTTTTCATCAGTAAGTGTCTGACACTCAATCTCGTCCCACCTAGAACGTAAGGATCATATAAAAGCCACAAAAAAAATCACGCAATCAAAAATCTAAACAAAACAATTCACAAAATCCGACAACACGAAAACTAGGTATCAGATAAAATCTTAAAACGTCAAGGGTACAGGAAACTGCCTAAAATATCTTGTATAATAACATACCTACATTTAAGTAAATTACAACTACTAGTATATTACGTTAAGTAAAAAAAGGAAACATCAAAGACACTTTATTTGTATATAAAAATAAAGGTTATGTTTTTAACAATAACAGAACAATCAAGTTGCTGGGTCAAGGAGAGTTACTAGCGCTATACGGTACCGCGGCCTTAAGCTGAATCAGGAGAAGGAATGGGGGGTTTTTAGTCCGTAAGAGTCTGACACTCCCTCTTGCCTCTCCCTGGCCGAGAGAAGGTTTTTAACACTTAGAACGTCATATCGGACAATGTTGTCCGACGCTAGCGGAGGGTTAGTTTTCAACAATTTTTGTCGGCAGTCAAATTCTTAAAGACTTTCCTCTCACAAAATAGGAGACTTGGGAAAATAACATAACATCATATTTATAGGTACCTATCATAGCCAGATATGTACGCTTTTTTCTAGTTTTATTTCGATATTCAATTACCTACATATCATAGTCAGAATTGTAACTAAACGTTTTTCTACTTTTATTTCGACATTCTAGAAAAAGGGTTGATTTCAATGATGACAAGAGAAAATTCCAGATACTATTTGTTTCTGAAAATTATAAACATTAATCTGAATAATATATTTCCTTTTCCTACTTGATAAGCGATAGTGAAAAAAAAGACTTCTCTCGCTCTAGGTGTAAGGAAGAGAATGTCAGACTCTTACCGTGACTCTTACTGACTAAAAGCCACCCGTTACTTCTCCTGGCTATAAAACACGCTTGCAATCAAACCCCGGCTGAATTTAAAGATCTTTTTCGGCTCTCGGGTACCCACCAGACCAAAAAAAGGTCAATTTAAACAATAATATACTTA